TCTGTAGCAGCTTAATGAAAGCCATCCTGTACCCTGAAGCATATGTTCCTATGTTCATATGCTAGTTATCAGGGATCCGAGTTTTCTGTTTAGCATGGAAAAATGCAGATATTCTCTTTAAAGAAAACCTCCCCCTGCCCCACACACGGTTTCTGCCCTACACACCCACCCCCTACTCCACATACTGGGGGTCTGGGGACTTGGGTTTGGGAAGCAGCAGTCTGGGAGTGAGAGGCAGCAGCAGGGCTTGGGGAGGGGGGGCTGTGGGTCAGGGGTGAGGGGCACCTGCAAGGTCAAGGGGCTGCGGGTTCAAAGTGAGGGGCACTGTCAGATCTGTGGGGGCTGTGACTTGGGAGTGAGGGGCACCACCATATTGGGGCTGCTCAGTGCCACAAAGCAGCATGGGGCTGCAGCTGAACGGACATCCTGGTGAGCAAAGGGGACAGGGGGAGCTCTGATTTTCTATGATAAAAAAACCAAAATCAAATGCCAAAATATACAGGTATTTAGAATTTATTTTCTTATAATGATTGGGGCACTGGTAGGCTTCCAAATTACTTTAAAACAGTAAATAAATCAATAAAACATTGTGTTCAACTAATACCTCATATATAGTGGTGTTTCATTTTAATCACAAAAGAAGGCAGATTTGGGGTTTTTTTAATCAGTGTTTTTGGGGTTTTTAAACAGAAAAAGCCAGGATCCCTGCTAATTATGATAGCCTATTTTATAAACAGACAAATAAAATGAGTTCTGAGAGCTACAGTGACACATTCAAGATCATGCAGAGATTTTCTGGGATAATTGGGGATAGAATCATGATATCCTGCACTGACCAGTATACTCAGGCCACTGGCAGACATTACATGCAAGTATTATGGATGTGCGAAACAGGCTGTATTCAATTCAGATTCGGCCTGAATTGGGGACAGTGATTTGATTTGTTGATTTGGATCATTGTCCCCAATTCGATTTGGCTGAATCCGAATCTAAAGATCCGATGCTGATTCGGAGAATCAGCGATTCAGCCATAGACACAGCTTTAAATGATTTTTCTACATACCTCAAGTACCAGGAGCAGCTTGTGAACACTGCAATGCTGGGGCAGATGGAGAATCCCACAGGAGTGCAAGGGGGCCCCCTGCATGCTTGGCAGTGAACCCAGAAGTAGACTTCTGCACCGCTTCTGGGTCCGCTACCTCTCAGCTCTGTATTCTTGAGGAACCCTGGCACAGGATGCAGCCTGTCTGACTCACAAAGAATTCCTCTCCCCGCCTCCTTTACTCTACCTGAACAAGAACTGATTATGAAAGACAATGAAGATGCAGTGGGAGACACACCTAAAGCCCTCCAGATAAGGGAGCAACTCCCCTAGTCTCATTTGCATCCGAGGTGGAACCAGATGACAACTCATTTAAATGTGAGATGGGACAGGCATGCACCTTCATTAGCATTCAGGATGGAGAACAGAGATTCCAAGGCAAGGACCACACTGAATTCTGGGATCAGAAAAGCAGGGGAGCACTGCATGATGGGGAATCTGTGCTCCAAATGCTAATTAACTCACATTTACACACACCCAGCTCAGCATTTATCAAACCAGTTCTAATCTGGATTTACAAAGGACTTTGTCATTCCCTGTCCCCCCCGCAAACTCATATAACTGGAACTAAGCAGAAGTAAAGTTTAAAAGGCATCTTGGGCCGTACATTCCCTGGACCCACTATGGGAGGCCTATTTAAACTTGATTGACTAAAACTCAGTTGCCGGGTTAGGGGAATGCTGAGGTAAGAGGCCAATTCAGAGAGGGTATGGGCAACATTTGAACAATGGTAAAGGGTTCATCACAGCATCCAGCCTGTTGGAATCCTGACCACAAATGCTGTCATACTTTTCCAGGGATGACTGATGGAAGTCCTCCCCACAAAAATTTATGAACACTCCAGTAATTCCCTTAAGTCTGTTAAAAGACTACAGTAAGATCTGGAAAAGTCATGCTAAGCTGAGGCCTATTCTCAACAGGTAAAACACAAAACCCTGATGAGCTATCTAGTGTTTCTGAAGAAACAATTCCGGTATCCCATCCAGTATATCTGCTATCCATAAAAATTTCAAGCTGGCTCCTAAGTGTCTGATTAGTCCTTAAAAACTTATGTTTTTCCTAGTTGTTAATCAGTTTCTTCAGATGTTCCAAACCAGATAACCCCTTGTCAATAGAAAAGACAATTATTTACACTATTAAAAGAATGCTTTGAAGAAGCTGAATTAAAGGTATAAAAATCTGTAAAATCAGCAAGCAAGTGTGCTTCAAGAGGAGAAATCTCTCTGACACCATTCACTGTTGTTCCCGAGAAGCTGGAAGAAACAGATAGTCTCCCTTCAAGGATTGTGCTAAGAACTTTACCTGTCAGCATTGGAACCCGAGTGCCTTGAACTGGTAAGATCCCAGCTCTCGCTTGCTCTCTCTTTTCTCTTTGCTCTCTAGGCATAGATTTCTGAACCTGAACTGTATTAGCTAAGCTTGAGGTAAGTTTCCCCAAATACATAGTGAAACCAGGGTAGTATTGTAATTGTTTGTGTTTGTTTTCCTTTGCATGTCTATTACTACTAGTACCATTATATATTTCATATATTTAGCAATAAATAATATTATAGTCAAAATGGTAGTAACTGGGTATATTTTCCTTCTCTACTTTTCCTACCCCACTTGCTCTGCAGCAACACTTCTTTTACCTAAGTTAAAGATCCCTGTGAAGCCCAGAAATACTGTGGGGGTCTGCTCATCCAGACACTACCACTACTAAGACAGTTAGGGCAAAAGATTGGGGCATGCTGTGTTTGAAACACATAAGGGGATTAGCTTGTACAGGCTGATTGACCCAGTTTGGCTCAGATGAAATGAAATGAACTGAACACTGGCCCATGAGGGTGTCAGCTGGACACCCAGCTGGATTCAGAGGTATTCTGTTCACCTGTGTGCTTGTGTCTGACTGCATTTTATTGTTACCTTAATGAACAGATTCCTGGCATATGAGGGTGTCAGCCTGTCCATGTTAATCAACCCAGCCGGGTCAGGCGTGTCATGTTAATCAGTGTGTATATGACTGATTTGGTGACTGGAGGAACCCAGCCCCATTGAAACTGAGTCCTGCAAGATAGCTCCATTGGAGGTGAGGACTTGCAGAAGGGAGATATACAGCTCCATCGGGAAAAAACCCCCCCCCCCCCCCCCCCCCGGGTGCCAGGAGGCACCAGTCACTGAGCCAAGGGTCACAGGGGGCCCCCGCGTACTGCTCAGTGGACCCAGAAGTGGACTGGAAGTGCTTCTGGTCCACTTCCGAGTCTGCCGCTGAGCACACTGGGGAGCCCCCCATGCTCCTGTGGGACACTCCATCCACCCCAGCATCGCAGCATTCATGAGCCCCCTGGTACCTCGAGGTATATAGAAAAAACATTTAAAGCTGTGTCTATGTCCGAATCTCTGAATCTTTCCAAATATTTCCAAATCAATTCAGAGGGTTCCGATTTGATTCAGAGAGATTAAAGGGTCCCCTGTTTCAATTTGGATTTAGAGATTCAGCCACTGAACTGGGCTGATTCTCCACCGAATCAGATCAGGGACCGAAGCTTCGCACAGCCCTATCAAGCATCTGACAAATTTATGATGCCATAAAGTGGAAAATCAGCCACAAAGATGTACCGCATATGATGTAGAACATCTTTGTGACTGATTCATGTGGGGCATTTTTACACATGCAAGCACCACAGTGCCAGGCACTTTTCAAAGTGCCGGGTGCTGCAACACTTGCAGTTATATAAGTGGCAAAATGCGTGTCAGTGCTGAGAAAATGGCAGTGGCGCACTTTGAACTAAAACACATCAGAGTTGCTTTAGTTCAAAAGCAAACCGCTTCCGTTTCCTTCATGCTGACACACATTTCACCACTTACACAACTGCACTCAGTGCAGTGCACTTAACATTCACTTATGCATGGAGCAAACTTGATTGATTGAGTTTGCTCCGAAGTGGCAGATCTCCAGCACATTGTGAGAGAAGAAGGTATGTGTATAAATGCCCATGTTGACTTAAATTGAACATGTGTCCTGTGTTATGTTTAGGACCAGAGCTGCCCCAACCCATGCTAACAATCACCTAATTGTCAGCATTAGCTGGGGAAATCTCTGGGTCTCAAATCTATCCTGGGGCTGTTTGGGGCCAGTACTGGCAATAAGCCACTGAGGTATGGCAGGATGCACAATGTTTGGGATGGAGCATAACACTCCTCAGATCCCAATGGCACCACTATTTGAACATCTGGCAGGGGCCTCATTAGAGTTGCTAGATTCCAAAAGTATTGAGGGTGACTGAATCATCAGTTTTTGCTAGAAAAACTCCTAAGTAATCAATTTGAAGGAAAAAAGATTCACATAGAATTATTGTCTACAGGCTACAGCTTATCAAATTTGCAAACAGTATGAAAAAGCTTTTGAGAGATAAAAATGACTACAAAGGAACAGTGTTTAACTGATAGGGACCCCATCACTTAGAAAAAAGATGAAAAAGAGATTGTATGATTACAACACATCCTGATTTTGGGGGAAAATTGCAAGTAATTTATCTTAATATTTTTCAGTGACCTTTTAGGAAATTCCTTTGAAAAATTTTAACTAACTATGTCTACCATGCTAATGTCTACCATGTACCAGTGTTCTCTTTTTCTGGATTTCTTAATGTCACTTCCTTGATTCAGTATGAAATAGTTAAGATGATTTTGATGATCTACTCCAGAGCATGAGAGTCAAGTATATGAGAGAAAGTTTACAGCATTAATACAGTAGATTTTGTTTGTTAAAAAAAGAATCTGAGCCATAGAAAAAATGAATTAAACTTTAAGCAATTTGTTCACCATATCGGTAGACTGCTCTATCCTTTCTGCCAGTTATCTCCCTTCTACTCCATTTCAGAAGGTGACTAATGATTTATTCCTTGTTTCATTTCAGGAATTACATGATTATTTTTTGTAACTGACTCCAGGTTCTGGAAGCGGTGATGCCATTTGCATGGGCAGATCCAGGATTGCAGTGCCAAGGGTGCAGCCCCACCCCATTCATTGGAGAGAACTTATTGTCCATATGCCACACAGAAGAATGGAGTGTAAACAGAAGATTCAAACCCCATGGTATAAATCAGAACATTAAAATGAAATTGTTGTCACATGACTATAGGTCTCACTGGAACATTGACCAATATATTAATTAATCAAGGCTGGGGACTTGGACTGGGGTGTGCCAATGCTCCTGCAAGGACCAAAGCCAGAGGTTCCTGGCTAGAGGGTCTTGCCCCTCTGCCCAGGGTCACGCTGATCACCATATTTATGGTCAGGAAGGAATTTTATCCCATGGTTAGACTGGTACAGACTGTGGGGGATTTTGCCTTCCTCTGTAGGAGGGGGTGTGACCCTCTACGTGGGATTTCTTGAGCATATATTGACAGCATTTCATAGAAGCAGGACATTGGCTGTCATGGTTCTCCTGCTTTACCTGTAGTAGGTTAGGGGGTTAGGTCTGTGTTATGTCAGGGTTGAGGGTAATCTGATGAAGAGTTTAGATTATGTTTTGTATGGGATGGTTTGGATCAAGATAATTCTGCTTCATGCAGGGGGTTAGACTAGATGGTCTCTGGAGGTCCCTTCTAGTGCTACTTCTCTATGATGTATACTATTCACACAAAAGCTTTGCTAAAGCATTGGCCAAATAGGCCTGATCAATGCATGAATTCCTTATGTACACAAAACCTAGCATGTGAGGCTGATGTTCACTCTTGCCAAAAGATAGGCGGTGGAGATGGCTGTACGAGGTACAGGATAGTCCAGTACCTACCAAGATGATAAAGCTAGAATGGGAACACCCAGATTAGGATGTGAAACAAACCCATGGTACAGAACAGTTTAAGATATTCAAAATACAGGTAGAATGTAATATGTCATTTGTTTTGACCACTGTATAGAAGGAGAATTGGAAATTAAAGGAGCTTTGTATTGGCCTAGGGACACCTACATGGTGTTATGCCTAATATCTTGACACAGGCATTAACACCTTGTCTGCCAGATCACAAGTGTGTTAGGGCCATGTCTTGTAAATAATAAATCTGGCCTTTGCCACTGAACTGAACCTGGTCATTCTGTAAAACAAGATTGATGTAAAGATCTCCTGGCTGCACCTTTTGCCAGCACCACAGTTCCTGAGACTTCCTGAGACATCCTTCAGCCTGAGGATGGTAAAGGATAGGCAGTGGGAGTGGAAGACCAGTCCAAGTGCCCGTGTTTTGGTACACTTGCCTGATAAAGGCAGTTCCATTATCAGAATCAATACTGTGGTGTACACCTTCTAGGAAAGAAGTATTGCAACGAGTATTTTAGCAGCTGTGCCATTATCTCTTTTTAATGTAGGAAACTCCACTACCCATTTACTGAAGCTCTCTATAATCAAAAACAAAAATCGATTTCTCTTAGATGTAGTAGGTAAAGGTTCCACAAAATTCACCTATAGTCTTTGGAATGGTTTTGCATGCCAAGTCTTGTTATGCACGTGTTAGACATCTGTGAATGTGTGTGTCTATACATGAAATTAGTTTAATATTATATGTTTTATTTGTTCAGGGATTATAAACATCTATTAATGATCTGGTTTTCCTAACAGTAAACCTTCTTTTTGTTATATTGGAGCACTATCCCACTGTGAAGGGTGTTTCATAGTTCATAGTTTAAGAAAGTCATTTTTAACCTGTATCTTTTATAATTTTTGTATATCTTTCTAATTTAAGTTCAGGGTTTTTTTCTTCACTTGAGCCCAAGTGGTGCTGGCTTCCAGAGTTACTTCTTATGCTAGTTCTTTAGCCAGTTCATTTCACCACTCTAGTGGACTTCTTTTTTATGCATTTTGATTATAATGTCCTTCATTTTCTGAGAACTAGAATCATAGAATCATAGAAAATTAGGGTTGGAAAGGACCTCAGGAGGACATCCAATCCCCTGGTCAATGCAGGACCATCCCCCATATAGGACAGAATATGCTCCTCCTTCTCTGTCACTAGGGCTCCATATCTGTTCTCTAGGCAAACCATTACAGGGGGAGATGAAGGTGACCTCTGATTGCTTCTAGAGGTCACAAGCTTCCAGCTTCCACCTTCCTGAGAGTCCATGTTCTCTTCCTTGTGTAGCACCACTTCTGGTGGTCCTTCCAGAGGATGGAAGCAAACTAGCTGAGAGGTGTTCTAGATTTTGCTATGGTGACTTGTGTTTAATTTTATGCCTATCTGTTCCTGTAAAATTCATGGTCATTCATTAGGGAAGGTAGATGGTGAGGCCTTTATAAATATAATCTAACTTAATTTTAATAATTATTTTGGTTTTCTTTCCTTCATCATTTCCAATACTACTTCAGCCACTGTGTATTACTTCAGCCACTTCAGCCATTTGAGTTTTTTTCTTATCTAGTTTGTACTGAAAGCAATTCTGTGTGTCATCAGTGGTACACATACCAGTAAATTTAGTTACTTGTTTCTCCTCATGGTATTATGAACTGCCATTTATAAATCTAATAGCTTGTTTTGTGGATCTAACTTTAAAAATAGGGTATGCTTTTCCCTCCCTCCAATGTTTGTTCACAAACATGTTTTTGACCAGTCAGAATGAGACCGTATATGGATACTTTAGATTATTTTAGTGACTAATTTCACACATCATCAGTCATGAAAGCAAAACCTAAAGTATCGCCTTATCCACTCACATAGGTTTTTTAGACAGGTGTTCTCAACTTAATAATTGTTTTAATGCATAGTGACTTCTAATCAACACTGAACTAACCCCTACAATAGCTTGTGCCTTCTGTAATGTCCAGTAAGGTGCTAGGGCAATTTGTTTGCAGACTCCTATTTTACTCTCTAGGGCTGTTAATGACCAACTGTAGTAAGCTATAGGGCACTCTTCTACTACAGTATCTTGAGTAATCATGGTTACAATACAAAAAATTTGTATGCTGGGTTATTTTGAAAAGGAAAAGTCATAATTAGGAGCAGTGAGGGTGGGGGATAGTTTTGGACTTTCCCGTGCCTTTGTTGCCTCTTTTGTCCATTTTCATTTATGTCTCCTAAGGATTTGGCCTGGCCTTTTCTAGTATAAGCATACAGCTACTCATTTGTATCTATATCTAATAATTCCCAACAAAAAACTGCACTATACACATCTCCCGCTGAGTAAGGGCTGAGAGTAGAATACACACACGTGCACACACAATAAGAGGTTTATCTTATTACTTAATACTCAAATGTTATAGTCTTTAGCATAGTAGAAAAACATATATGAAGTAAAATAAACATTGAAACTATGTTTGAGTAGCAACAGCCTAGTTTGTTTTTGGTTTATGCAGCGCCTAGCAGAATAGAACCTTGCCCCATGACAAGGGCCTCTCGGTGCCACAGCAGTACAAATACATCAATGATATGTATTCTTTCCTGGGTTTTCAGTGTGTTTGTATGTAAAATTGAGACGGCAGATATAAAATCAGAACTCCAATTCATACCATGTCTCAGTTAAATTACTGGTAGAAGCATCACAAGTTAATGATGATAATAATACTCAGAACTTTTATAAGACTTTTGATCTTCAAAAGACTCAGCAAACTTTTCTATGTAAGGGCTTAACACTTCCAGACCTCAGTTTACAAAACTTCCATTGATGTCTGAGAATTGCTATTCTGTCTTCCCAATTGAATTTTAATGCTTAATTTTATTATAGGCTGAGGAAGCAACCCCAATATTTAGTTTCCTAACTCGATTACTTAATTTTCCTGCACCTGTTCCTTTGAGAGGGTCTAATATTTCAACGGTTGTCAGAAACCCTTTGAAGATCAGCAGGCTGAAACCCTTAGAATAGCAAAGTGCCTTTTTTGATATAAGAAATTCCGTATTATTCATCAAGTGCTAAATAGTTGTAATGGTCCTTTCCCTGTCGTTTGCTTGTTTCTTTCAAGAGTATTTTGAGAACCTAAGCTTGTAAATGCACAAGCCCTGACTACTGCCCAGCCGCAGCAGCATCACACACCGCAATAAAATACCTTGGAGCTGAGGGAGCCAGCTTGGGCTTCTCCCTACTCTTCCTTTGATCCACCCCACGGCTCTTGCAAACTATGTCTGTGAAGAGCAAGTTAGTTTCCTTGATCCCAGAACCTTCCCCCAGCAGTGATTCCCTTGTCCTCTCTAGGACAAAAGCTTTGTCCTGCTAATGTAGTTGGTTCCACAACTGGAGGGACTGGAGTCTTTGTTGCACAACTGAAGATTCAAGGATCTAAAGGTCTAATGGAGAGGTTGTTGTAAATGCATAGAATAGAAGTTTTTATCTTTTTTGTTTAACCATCTCCCCATGCCCAAAATATCACATAAAACAAAAGTTAGTTTGGCTACCTGTGTAATCCTGGATCCCTTTGTATATCCACTGTAATACTGTCTTTAATTACACAATCACAGTCCACTAGTGGACAATAAGGGGGCAGAAAGTAGGTTGCTCAAGCAGCTGCTTTTCTAGATTTCGGCTATTTGATTTTACTGCTGCTCTAACGTTGAGTTTTCAGCTATAATCTCTATCACTTGGTGCATGGAGGCCTTCTGAGATCTAAAATAGGAAAAGGTTATCCTGTACTACTTTAATCATCAGTTACAGATGCATTAATGTTGCAAAGAATGAAAAGATCACTAAAAGTCCTTTGTTACTTAATGTAATTAGAGGTGAAATGCATTAAAATCAAAACAGTTTAGACTTGACCATCATTAAATGGAGGAAAAACTAAACAAGTTCACAAGTGGACAGTCACATTGCACACCCGTAGTTGCTTATCAGTGTTTCACTGCATCTAAGTATTCTCAGTAAAGAGGGTTAAAGTGTTTTCAAGGCTGAAGTCCAGAGGTCTTCAAGAAGCACTTGAGTATTTCCTCTAGCTCCCAATCCTAGGGCACATTTATGAAACTATAGGAGGGAGAGATGTGGGATCATGTGGGTGGATCAGAACCAGAGAATTTAAAATGCTGGGGGTATTTTTCTCTTAACACAAAAATTGTACAATTATCCAGACTGCTGTATTTTTTTAATTGTTTGTTATTGTCTGTGTAAAGTAACCT